ATTGTCGCTATTTAACGACGATCAATGTTGTATGGTTATCAGTATGGTTTTTAAATATATGTGTTTTTTTTCGCTGCTTAAGGCAACTATATGCTAGAGACCAATTTGGGTTGTGTGGTGTCTGAGTTTTGATCCAATGAAACAGATGCAGGAAAAGTGCGTCTAAGATTATTTTCCTAGAAGTTGATTTTTAATATAATTTTTATTGTTCACAAAATGCTGACCACTATGTCTGTTGAGAAATTCGCCTTCTGGCTCGTTATATATCAACGTTGTGGCTGTCCTTGGCTGCTTTGTTTCCGTTTGCTTTCCGGCTGTTAAGTCGTTTTCTCAGGTCTGTTTTGCTATAATAATCACCTGAGGTATTAGCTTCAAGGACAGAGTACCCAAAATAATGGTCTCAAATCTGAGGTTATTTAGAAGGTGAAGCCGTTTTGTTTTACGATACTTTTAATGAATCGTAGTTGTCTTAAAATTTCGCACGTACATGTGATTTGCAGTGTTCTGACAATCTCTCTATGTCCGCGAGGCTTTTGCACTTTACGTGCATTTCACGTGCTATAGCTTGTCCGACATCATGTGGAAGAGATCATCTTTGATATGGTATTCCTAGTAAAGTAACCGATATGCTACTGTTATGGATGGGATTGAGCAGATGTGGTAACCATGGCATTACTGATGCTAGATTCACATTTTTCGTGTACGTTCGTTTTGTATTGTAGTTGCTATATAAAATTCGAGAATTTGGCTACTTCATAGGCCAGCCTACTTACCAATTGACGCCATATTTTCACATTTGTAGAATTCGAAAAATGGGTCCTAAACCTTTCGTTTGAATCCGCAGTCGAGTCGCCATAATTGCTTCTTAATTCAAAGTTCGAAAATCACGATAGTAGGCCAAAAAAAGTTAGCCCCGTACTCATAAGGTAAATACTTGTTTCTGATAAGTTCTAAAATTCATAAACTGAAACTTTATTATCTTCACCATTTCAAGATAATTCTCTGGCGTTAGACTTGGCGGACTATTCTACCGCCTTTTATTCCAGTT